TGCTCTGATTGGCCAGCTATCCAGTGCGTTGTGATTGGCCGAATTCCTCAAGTGTGTGACGGAAATGTTACGTCCCTTACCATATTGTGATGCCTGTGGCAACCACATGTGACGACTCCGCTTCGTCCATGGTGAAAGCCGATATGGCGATCGACAGCGAAGTTGCTGGAGTAATGATGCTGAAAATTTAAATTCAAAACAGTTATTTTAAATTGTAATCATATTTCAAAATATTACTGTTCTTAATTTTTGATATATACAGTAGTCAACATTTGAAGTGGATCAAAAAAAAAAAAATTTCTATTTATATCTCCCCGTGTCTCTGTGTTTCCCCTGACATTAGGGGGCCGTCCCACTTAAAGGTCAAGTTAATTTTATTTAATTATATTTTCTCTATAGCGCCAGATCACAACAGAAGTCATTTAAAGTTACCTTTCCGATAGAACAGGTCTATACCTTGTTCTTTTATTAAGCAAACTAAATAGCCGTATGTTATTTATCTTATTTACACGACGCCATGTCATTTCGGTCTCTACGTTATGGTTGCGCTCTCTGCATCACGCACAGCGGAGTTCTGCCCCGATGCGTGCGCACACACACACACACACACGTGCGCGCACTCCCCCTCCCACTAGTATTTGTAAATATTAAGCCACAAAACGACTATTTAAATATGAATTCTGCGTGTCTCTGTGTTAATGAATGGCGCAGACGCGCAGTTTTGTTTACTAACAGTTACTTGTACTGAAGCGCGCGTGAAGCTTGCGGTGGTCTGCCGTCTCACTAAATGAGGACATAAATACATGAACAACATCTCCAGGACTTCTCTGAGAGTCACTACATGAGCATTTGACCGTTTCATTTGAGTAAAACTATCCTCATATCATATACACACAGAAATGTAAAGGTATTCACGGCAACCCGTCAAAATAAAAGTTCAAGTTCAAAATATCGGTTATCGGTCTACTTGATCTTTAATAATCGGCATCGGTCCTGAAAAACACGTATCGGTCACCCCTAATAAGTTGAAATACTAAAATTACTTAAACTAAAACTGAAATGAAAGAAATTAAATTAAACAGAAATATTTAAAAAATAATAATAAAAATGACAAAAGTACAAAACAATATTACTCATACTTAAACTAAAATTAAAATATAAAATAATAAAAGTTAATTTTAAAATATTAATAATTACTGTCATAATATATCAATAATACTAAAATAATACTCGTCTGCTTGCCAGTGGCCAAATCAGCTTTTAGTCTTTAGGTCTTGGTGAAGACCAGACACATAGAGGAATGTTTGGATTAGGGATGCACTGATACCGATACTGAGCTCCTGTACTCGTACTCGTTAAAATGCCCCGGTACCAAACGCCGATACCACACTGCATGTGTTAAGTGCCATATTCAGACAATGAAACACCAACAACAGAACAACAGACAGCAGAATGCAGTTATTAGAGATTAAGGATGTCTACGAAGTATATGTATGCAATGAATATAATGTTAAACATTCAGTATTGAGTGTATAGCTGATGTGCGGGAGCTGATAAGCAAAGCACGCTGAGTGGATTGAGCGCGCGGCGGCGCAGATGCGCGAGCTTGTCGAATGAATATACCTTTCTCACAGACATCACTGGAAAGTTTGTAGTTCGGTCGGATACGTCAAATACAAGTAAGTAAAACAATGCACAAGTTACTTAACGGTAGGGAGAGAGAGAGCGAGAGCGCGCGCAATTCTGTTGTGTGATCTTTGATGTTCACTCACTTAGCACACACATTAGGGCTGCACGATAAATCGAAAATGGAATCGATATCG